GGGGGGGGGGGGTCGACCGCACCCATCGACCCCCCCCACGGTATGCCCCTGCACCTTCTTTTCCTTCTGCAATTACCATGTACCGTGTACAGAGTACACACTTCAGAAAAGGGTAGGATTATCTCCAGGTGTATTGCTCAATCCCCACCAGAAGTACTACACTAGAAATAAGCCATCTTCAGACTTCGCGATTATCCTTGGTGTTTACACCAAATATTAAATCCAATAAAAAAAAATGCATTACGGAATCATAAATTATTTCACTTTAATCACGTTTTCCATATGTGAAATTCGTTGCCCAATTAATTAAAATTTTACCAGCACTTCAATTTTCAAACAAGGCATTAAATCTCACTATAATGTCCTACCAAGCGAACAGGACTATGTGGACAATGTCTGTACATGGGTTACCAGTTGCCGCTGCGTGAAGTGTTGGCTTATTCAAGTCAAACTGAATTTGTCATTTATATATTTATTCTGTTAACATTGTGTATTGTATTTCTGTTTTTAAAGGGGCTTTGCACCAGTGTGCCCTCTCTGTCACTGGCTACTGTCCTCTTGTAATTTGCATTGTCAGTGTAAAGTCTAATAAAAGGAATTTAAAAAAAATGCTATTCCGACCATTAGTTATTATAGTTCCTTACACATAGGTATACTTACTTATTAATGATAACAACTTGTTCCTCTATAAGATTGCTTTCTCCGATAATGATTGGCCCCCCTTCTGCTATGATACGTGCTTTAGGGTGAATAACAGTGCGTGCACCTGAAGAGAATTCAAATACTCATTTTAAAATGTCAGCGAAATATACACTTGTTGTTTTAGAGTCGGTGAAATGTCAGGGTCACCATAATATTGAAACATCAATATTTTATACCTATTTCATTTTTAATCAACTTACCAACTGTAATATCCCCTTTTAGTTCTGCTTCCACACATACCACTGCACCTGGTGCAATCTTTACACTGTAAGAAAATATTAGAAAGTATTGTTCAAAAGTTGAATCAGGTTTTAACAGTGTTTTCCTAAAATAACTGACATATTGCAAGTTTTTTATAGAATGGACCTTTTCCAGAGTGTTAATTCGGTAGGTACCATACTATACTGTAAAGTATTTTAATTGTGCGGATGATACTTCAAAAACTAGGTCAACTTTGCACGTAAAATCACTAGGAAAATAGGTGTACAGAATCGTAAATACTGCATAACACATGATTAATATAGTATATTAGGCCTAAGAATGATTTGATAAAGGCCAAATTTTCAGCAAACCCAGGTCCATAAGCAGGATTTTTATTGGATGGGTGCAAATTTGTAGAAAGTGGACCAAAATTGCTCAAGGAGAGGGGGGACCCTTGGGGAAAACCTTTTGGGAAAACCTTGCTGGGATAGAGGGGGCGGAGCTCAAGCATTTTTGAATTGAGGTCTTATTTAATTCATTTCTGAAGATGCATGTATTAAACAGCTTTCAGTGGTAGATCTAGGAATTTGA